CACTTAAGAAGGATTTTCAAAATTTACAGTAAACCTCAATATGAAAAGAAAAACAATTCTGATGAAAACATAAGACATGTCACATCAAATCCAGTCCATTTTCATTCAATTTCCCAAACAAAAAGCATGAAATTCCAAGAATTTATAGAAATATTTTCTTAAATGCATAGCAAAGTAAATGAAGGACTTGCACATCTGTAAAGGAACAGAAGGTGAAAAACAACCCCAGTTCTGGAAAAGACAATGGAAGTTCTGCCAGCTGTCTTGGCACAAAGACAGCTACTTAAATCTATTGCTAAATGTTTTAAGAGTTTTGCTAAGGCATCCCTTCCTAATTTGGTGTAAACACAAAGGAATAAAGATAAATAATAGAAAATTCAGATTATGCAGACAGTGTAAAATAGAACAAGAAAAAAACCTCCTAAGTCTCCGAGTGCAGGAGTAAACCAACTTTCCAAAGCAGGAATAGTCATTTTAAAGTATCTGCTTACAATCTCAGATGTCCCAACAGTCTGAACAGTAATATCCTAGATGAGACAGATCACTTTAAACCAAATAATTATTATTTATTTTTTAATGTTTATCACATGCAAACTGCATCACATATGATTTTGTGCAAAACAGATAAAAGAGAAAAAAAAAAGACAGTCATACCAATATGAAAGCATACCTGATACCTTGCTATGAACTTATATTGCTGACGACAAATTAATAACATTGACAAATGTTATTAAAGCTCTGTGCAAATCATACAAAAAGATTCCCCCCTCACTCCCCACAACTGAAAAGATTTAACCATGTTTTCTGCCAACACAGTGTACATAGTCAATACAACACAGTCCTAGAAAGTAACTGTTGGGTGCTAATATCTGGATCACAAAATTCTACTCCTTTGATAAACAAACCAAAAAAGCTCTTTCTTAAAATACATCCTACAAATGTGAACTCAAACCATACCTCACATAGTCCTTCATGGAAATGTAAAAAAAAAAAAAATAAAAAATAAAAAAAAAAATATATATATATATATATATATGTATTATAACATATAATATATATTATATATTATAATATATATTTTATATATTAGATATGTTATAATATATAATATATATTATATTACATATATAATATTATATATATTATATGTTGTGTGTATATATATATATATATATACATACACACACGTATATATGCACTAGTCTCTTACATATGCTGTACCTAAAATGAATATTGTGAGATAATCACAATTGACTGAATAAAATAAAAATGCATGAGTATCATTTAATATCCTCTCCACCAAAAGTCTTCTTAATTCTGTCCAATTTTATTGGAATTTTATTTACTCAAGAAAGGAAAATACAAGAAACATCTGTATTTGTATTTCTATTGATATGAAAAACAAGAAAATATTCAAGCAAATAAGTGTGCTTAACAATCTGAATACTTTTTCTTTGCAAGTTCAACTGTCATTAGAACCCAGAGAAGACAGATCTCTTGAGTGAGATGGCTTCAGGAAATATGATTGCTTACTGAAGTATACTTAGGGTATGGCAACATCCAAACTAGACTATAACAGAACACATCTGCTGAAAAACAGAAGTGTTTTTTTTTTTCACCTCTAACTCAAAATCTTTGGAGTCCAAGGTTAAAAAAAAAAACAAAACAACAACCTTCATCCTCACTGAACAGATATAAACACAGTGGATATGGCATGGCAGAATGTTAGTATTTACAGGAAGTCAGGATAGTGGGCTGTTTTTTTTTTGTTTGTTTGTTTTTTAAATCAACTTCATTAATTCAGCAAAGGGACAACTCACTTTCCATTGTTCTAGGAGAGCTGTATTAATAAAAATAACTTCTGACAGACCATGGACTTCTTGTATTGTCCACAATCATACCACAAATCACCTTTGCTGGTAATTAATTTAGTCATTTTATCACGCTATATAAACAGAGCCTTCATTAACTGCACTCAAATATTTTCCAGGAAGATCATATTGTAGTATTTGTTCTCTACTTATCCCAAACAACATAAGCTATGAACTGGACTGAGGAAGTTTTCATTAAATCCTGGATTAATTTTCAAACATCTTCAGAGCAGGAGTGTGTGTGCATGCACATGTATGCATACATGCATCTATTTAATAGAAGCTGTTATTATTAAATCCGATGTGTATTCAGATCCCATATAATTTTCATAATACATCATAATTACTACCAAAATGGACTCTTACCAGAATTAGAAAGCATACTTGCACAGGTAAACAAAAAAAATGCATTTTTTTCAAACACACAAACTGATTTAATCTGAATAGTCAGCTAACTATCTTTAGTTCACATTAAACAAAAGAGAATTAATATGTAATTCCCATTATGTCTTATTTGTACTCTTTTAGATGCAAATTAATAGACTATGAAAATGTTTAGACCAAGTCCGTTGTGTTAGAATAGATACAACAGCCTCAGGCACTGCTGCTCATTATGTTGATCTAAGTCATAGTGTGCTTTAATGATGGGTTGGGAAACCCATTTCATCTGAAGTGCACAACCTGAGGTTATATTTAATGGGATACATTCTAATATAGTCTGCCTCTGTGTGATATTGGTTTTCATGGGAGACAGATTTTTTTTCACTGGAGAAAAAATTACACTAAGGAGGAATAACAGGAGACTACAACAACCTAGTCTATAAGAAGGCATGTTATTACTTAAGAGGAGGCTCAGGAGATCCAGTTTCATGTCTTATTGAAACAGTATTGTTGCATATATCTGTATTTTCCAAGCTTCAACTTTGGACCTGGTGTGTCATCCAGCCCAAAATGAGAAGGCAGGGTTAATTCAGATAGTTTTCCTATACATTTTGAACTATGGTAGCTTTCTACAAAATCCGCAAAATATTGCTGCACACAGATAAGATATGAGGACAGAACAAATAAGTGTTCTGTCTAAGGACACATTGGTTTCAAGTAAATTACTTAATTTACCTACGACGCTATTATTGTTGTATTGCTTGTCTGCTTCTATTCACACTACTACCATCTTTCCTCTGCTACTTAGTCTTTAATTCCAGTTACATCTCATCTTCAAGTATCATGAGACTTATCTCTTCAAATATCCCCAATACTCAGATATTGCTTATTTCAAGATGTACAAAATTCAGGATGTATTCCCCTCAACTCTTCTTTTATAAAATATTTTTTTCCTCCTGATCCAGATTGAAATATATCTACTGATTTGTTCTGTGGAAATTTCATTTGTTGTGTTATGTCACTTTCAAAAATAATAAGGAAATTTAATTCATATAGGAGTAATTCATCATTATCATTTTACCTAGCCTTCTGTGAGACAAAGAATCTATTGTACATTCCCAGAATTTCCATCATATACAAGTCGATGAGAAAACTTAAAGAAAAAAATAAATATGAAAATAAACCTAGAAACACACATACAAAAAAACAAACAACAAAAACAAAAAACACTAAGTCATTATTATAGCAAGGACACTAAAACATTATGTACTTATGTAAGAAGACTGTTTTATAGTTCTGTCTCCTCTGAACAGAAACATAACACTACCATCATCTCACATTACTCTTCCCTTTATTTCATTTGAATCTGCTTTAAAGGTGAAATGGAAGGCAAGAATGAAGAGAGGCAGCAGAGTGGAAAAAGGAAAATTGAAGGTAGACAAGAGTTTTTTTTTTCTAAGCTTGATAAAATGTGGAAGAGTGTACGGGAAACGACAAAAAGTTCTCATTCCTCTACATCAATATGATAAGAGTACAGTCCATGACCATCCTGCCCTTTCCTACTCTTTTGGGAAGAGGAGCCTGTATTCAAGGCAGAATAGGAAACTGTCAACTGGCTTCGAGAAATTCAAAACAATAGGAGCAAAAAATGTTTTATGACTATTGACAACAGCCCAACAAACTAAATGTAAACTGAGGTGCCAATAACTGACCACAGTCTAACTGAAACACAGTGCTGCGATCTGCCTTGAAGCCACTACAGAGAATTTTTCCCTTTGATAGAAGGGAATGATGCACATTCATTTATTTTATTTACCTCTTTTATTTTTTTCCTAAGCCAGGCCCAAGAGGTGTGAAAAACTGCCTATTCATTCAGGTTAAACACATCAGGAGAGTCTATAGTGGTGGCATAACTGTTTGATGCGGAAATAAAATCTACACAGCTCTACTGTTAGAAAACTCCATACCTTATCCTTTGCTTCCACTTATTTTCTTTTAAACGAATACATAACTACTTACATAAAAGAAAACAAAACAATGTGACCACATAAAGCATGACTCCCAAAACCAGGGAAAAAGAACAGACAGTTACTCTTGATAAGTTTTGTATGTATTCCTCAATACCCAATAGAATGTCATTCAAATGTCCTGATAATTATACTTCTGAGAATTACAAAGAATATAAAAATAAGTAACATTTAACATTCAAATCTTTGAGGACAAATATTTGATTAACAATCGTCTCCTTCCGTAGGACAGTACATACTAGAATGAATTAACTTCATACACCTGAAGTCAGGACAAGCTAATGAATTTAACTTAATATGCTAAAAAAATAAAAGTACAGTTGTCTCTAAAAATGATGCTACTTTTTTTTCTTTTTTTTTTTTTTTAACAAATATTTGAATTTATTTGTGTAGAAAACCTGGATGTCACTAGCAAAGATTTATTTACTTTTGATTGCTCTTATTATGCTACAATCTGTTAAGTTTCAGAAAACAGTATTCTGATGTTTATTTAAAAATCAAAATGGATTATACTAGTTAAATTGATTCAGAAAAACAAAACAAAACAAAACAAAAAAAAAACACACCCCTTGTTCAATGGGTACTTCACTAAAAGCACATTTTATACTGGATGTCTTCCTTGTCAAGTAACATCAGTATCTTGTATAAAACTTACCACTTTGCTAAGAAATACATTGTGCATCACCATATAAAACACACACACACAGAAACAGCAACCCACCTTCCCCTCACAAAAGGGCTGTATCACATCTTGTGTACCCCAGTCTATGAGTAAGGCCCATCTGAAGAAGGTTTCATAGCAGCACAGTGTCAGAAGCCCACATATAACATGCCCTGCAAACAGAAACAAGCAAGAGGGTTGCAGCATTTCTCTTCCCAGCTACCATACACAAACTTTTTAGCTTCCTGTCATGTTTTCAAATGGAAAACTGATGAAGCTGTACTCATTTAGTTACCTCCAATAATTTTATGAAATGTATATTCAACTGTATCAGTAGGGATAATTTTCTTATTCATTGTATTCTCTATTAAACAACATTTGTTGTTGTTGTTTAAAACAGCCTAGCTGCTACCTAGCAAACTGTCAGTATTCTTTATATCTATCCTACCTACTCTGACAAAACTTATTGTCTTGAATAATGTATCATCATTTCTGAAACAAATCTCCATTCCTCATTCCACATGTTGTCAAATTCCTTTTCACAGCTTTGTTCATACGTTTTATTTCAACACTACAGACTGAATAAATTTCCTCCCTCTCATTTCCTCTGTTTTTCTCCTTTTTTTTTTTTTTTTTTTTAAATACTCAGTTTCCTTCACCCTTTTTAGCAGCAGTTAATTTTTGATACCCGCTTAGTCTGTCATTCCTGTCCTTTTTGCTCTCTTCTTGACACTTCTCAGATTAACTTCATTACCAAATCCTGCAAAACTTTAGTCTTGTGCCACTGATGATAATGCTTGAAACAGATTTCTATTCTGCTGCTCTCAAGAGCAGAACAGCAGAATGTCTGAACGGCAACACTGAAATACATTGAAGAGTCTATACTCAGGGTAATCATTTCAACAAACTGTAGCCCCTGCAGGTGAAGAGGTGATTATTTTTTTTTATTTTTTTTTTTTTTTTTACAGATGTTACACTTTGTGAAGAATTCCTGTATTTGTCTTAAACAATATTGCATATTTAATCTCCCAATATTTTGCAGATGCCTATCAAAATATCCTTAAGAAAAATGCACACAAGTAAAAGTGTCTTTTCTTTGGTGAAAACCTGTGTGAACTTCAGACAGCCCAAAGCTTCCATACAAGATTTACAAAGTGCAGAACTGATTCTCCATAACCAGCAAAAACCTTTCAGCATGCAGGTGCATCTAGCAACGCTCAAGTTACTAGACTGAAGCCAGAAGTATCAGGGGAATGCAAAGATTTAATCTAGATGTCTTTGGATGTAGCATTTCCATTTTTCTTCAGATAAATCCTAAGTAGGAAATTTAGGGACATTTCATAAAAATGATCATTCAAATAACTATTTATATGGGTTTTTCCATGACCGAAAGACAATCATAGCAGATACATATATATACACACAAGAAAGACTGCAGGGTTAGGATATTAAACAGGTATACTTTCATTCCATCATATTAATTAAAAAGAGAAACGTCATTATTTTTGCTATACTCTTATTTCTTGCATTGGATGACACATCTAACTGGCCATGGAAGGTTCAGGACAAATAAAATTTACTGTATTATTAGTAGCACTATTGCAACCTACAAAACAAAATTGAGGAATTCCCATTGTGTTTTTTTTCCATATAGTTTTTTTTTTTTTTTTTTTTCATAACAGGGTATACACATCTCTCTAGTGCTGTAGAACCTGGCTTTATCCCATCACAAAGACATTTTATGACTACACGTGGAGTAATCAGCAGGAAAAGAATGCTTAATAGTTTACAGACTGTTATGAAATGTTTTAATAAAACAAGAGAATCAATGAGACTTTAGTCTGTAAGTTTCACAGAATGTCTATACCTCCAGAAATGCACTTAAACTGGCATTTTTAGGAAGTTACACAACAGCATTTTCCCTTTTTCCTATTCTGGTCAAAAGTACTTCAGATGAACTACCCAGTTTCTTTTGACCTTATCAGGTCTTCCTGATAAGGACTTCCAAGTGAAAAATGTAAACATTTTTGTAACATCTGACTGATCTGAAAGTCTCTGTGCATTACCAACAAAAGCATATGAGGGTCTTAAGGGCAGAAAACAGTAGCAAGGAGACAAGCTTGCTTTTATGCAAATGATCTTTCTCTAAAATATTCCTTACACAAAAATCTATATATGATTTATAATATTTTTTGCATATGCATAAATAAGAGTAAATACAATCTATTTCATCATAATCTTTTTTTTTTTTTATTTCTTGAAGGTTACTATGTGATATAGAAAGTTAAGAACATCCTCAATAATAAAGTTTTAAATACAATCTCACTTATTTTTCTTACAAGGACCTGATTTTCCATACCTGTTTAAGGATTTACAGAAGTATTTTTAAATAGAAAGGACATAGCTAGCTCAGTAGCTCCATTATTCCTTTTCATTTATGTTTCAAATTAACCATCTTCAGTTATGTGCATGTTATGCTTAGTCTAATCATCTAAATCACGTTCTCAAACATTCAAGTTTTCATACTTTTAGGTCTAACAGACTTCTTTTTTTTCAAGCAAACTGAAATTCCTATTCCAAGTGGGCCAAAGAAACAATAGCTCTTCAGGCAGTCATTGTATTTCACTGCACACTTCGTCCCTGAAAAAGTCACTAATATTGTTCCCAATACAATGTTATGACCTTTACTACAGTGGAAAATACATAGCGGTGCTAAGAACTGCTAAATACATTGCACCAGCTGTGAAATAAGTTAGAGTACTGTAATGAAAAGATAATTTTATTTTATTTTATTTTGGTGTAGGGACAAAGAGAAGAGTGATTGTGGAATATTTTTTTTATTTTTTTTATTTTTTTTTTTAATATACATATATTAAACTATATAGAGAGACACAGATAGTTTCCAGGACTCTGACCCTGATGATGTGGTTCCCAGTTCTTTGTAACACATACAAATAAAGCACTTTCCATGTTGAAATAAATTCTTCAACGACAAATAAAGTGTCTTTGTTAGTGTCTATGCAATACATGGTACAGTAGTGTTCTTGTTATAATTACACTGGTTCTGCAACAACAATACAAAAAACTTTTGTAAAGACAAATTCTTATATGAACTCAGAGATAAAGATAAAAACACTGTTCTACCACATCTGTGACTTGCTATGGGGATGGAAATATGTGACAGAAAGCATGTTTCACACAAAATTACACATTAATAGTCATATTTTGTAAGTGATAGGAAGACTCCTCACCCTCTGAAGCCCACAAAAAAAAAAAAAAAAAGAAAAAAAAAAAAGAAGAGAGGGGAAAATACTATATGAACTATATGAACTTGCTAACTGCTACATATACAAAATCTTTGTTAAATAAACCCATCCTTTGTCTCAAAGAATCACCAATCACATTGCATTTTTGTAAAAACAGCTACTTCTAATGAGAATTAGACCCATATACCTGAACAAATGGACCTCAAGTGTAGATGATTTTCCACAGCTTTGTTACATTTTCCATTTCTTGTGTCAAATTAAATTTTTCAAAATTTAGCTGAACAACTTTTAATACCATACTTAAGCTCCAGACAATTCAGTACTATTGGTATTCTAACTATAATAAAGCAAATGATTTCTTACTTGTAATTTTTTACACTTTTAAAGTTGCAGTTTGACATGCATCAACTTTTTGTTTTGTATCATATTTGCATTTTCTTTTTGATTCCCTGCAACACAATTCCTCCATTTTTCTGGATGCCTTTCTGTATCACTTGGTTAACTACTCCAAAATAGCATTGAATAAATAGGCCTTTTACTTTGAAAAATATCCATGTTAAAACCACAGAGAAATATAATAAGCTGTGAGGGAAAATTACCAATGAAAAGCTACTCAATGTCAAAAGTGCCCTTTGAAACATACATACCTGCATACACGCAATTCCCCATTAGGCAAGAAACTCTATACTTGGAGTAATGAACAAAAAATCCAATTGACTTAATACATTAAGTCAATTAACTTGATACAACTTGATTAACTTGATACAACAAAATCTAGAAGCTTAATGCTATCAATGTGAAGAAATATACGTTTAATTCAATAAATTTGGTAGGATAAGAACCCTATGATTGCTTGAGAAATAAAGACAATGTTAACAGCAAAGTTCATTTTACAAAACAAAATTATTTTAATACTCTTCATAACAAAGATAGATCCATACTGTCCCCTATCAACTTCAGAGAAAAATAAAAAGTGAAAACCAGTTAACTGGTTCCTCAGGCAGTGCTTTGACTTGAGCAGAAATCTAGACCTTTTTCAGCTATTTTCTGAAACGTAGTTCTCATAACTCCTCCTTAAAGAAAGGAGATATTGGCTTGTTTTACGCTTACTTATTACACTGGTCATTTCCATAATCATAATACAATCTGATCACTGGCTGTCTTTTGTGGCATAGTAATGTTAAGGAGTCTTACGGCTGCCTTAGGGATATCAGCAAACATCAGGTGCCCTGGGCTCACTACTATAGAAATATGCAGTAATATCAGGTAAAGACAAAGCAATAGGCAGTTATGAGATAACTTGTCCCCAGAGAAAGTTTTATTCCAGCTTCCAATAGATACTGGTTTGTGCCCTGGAAGAAAAGAATTGTATTCCTTTTAAAAATCCATCTCTATATATATTTTTGTGTGTGTGTGTTTTATTTATTTATTTATTATTTAGTATCGTAACTCAATGCTCTTCCTATTCAAATAAATGAATGGCTCTATTGTGAAAAAGCTAAGGTGCCAAAAAGAGGGTGCTAGCTTCTAATAACTTCTATAACAACATGAAGATTGAGCCTGAGTTTCCCCAGCCCTCTTGAAACTTAAAGCCTTCATAAGAAATTAAAAGACAAGAGTATCCAATCATTCCCATCAAGATGCTGACAATGCAAAATAATATAATACTGGAAATTCAATATTACAAATAGTAATAATCACTAACAGCTGAACAAGGTATACAAATCACTTTCTAATAGATGATTAGATGGATCCTGGAATAGGTAAGAGGAAAAATAGACACTTCTTACATAGAATTAACTCTATCAGTCCCACTGAAAATATGATCAGATTAGGGCATCTCTGAAAGGGATAGGTTTTCCAAGTTTTTTTTGTCATTGCTGTCATGGAATAGGTTTTTTTTTTTT